CGAGTCATCCGTTCGTTGGACTTCGCTCGACAACGACTCGCTGATCGCGTATAGAGACTCTGTGGACTTCGTGGAGGACGTTGTTGTCGATCCTGTGGAATGTCTGGAGGTGCTATCTATGGAGGACGACCTGGGCAGTGGTTTCGGAGGAACTTTTCCAAATCGGTTCCTCGATGCAGAATAATTCTTTACGCTCTCGGTCTTGTCATCGTCTAGCTGCTTCTCAGTTCCCTCGACAAGATTTTCGCAGAAATCTGAAGATATAGGCGGCATCGGCGCCATGTCCCTTTTCCTAACGTAGCTAGAGAAGTTGCATGATTGATCGAGAAGTTCACCTTTAGCGATTTTATTGATCACTCCGTAAGCGGAGTTCTTCGAGTTCGAAGAGGACTTCAGTTCCTCGTAATTCTTGTCGATTTCCGCGATGTTCTTATTGATGTCTTCAATATACTTAGCCGTGGTGCGGTAAAGATCACCGCTAGGCACGTAATTCCCATCAACAATGACGATCCGACGATCGCGTCTCGACTTCGCCAGAATATTCGGAACCGCATAAATCGGTTGTCTCTCTTTGGTACCATTAATCCTCCTACCGTCAACAGCAAAATTCCTCTTGTCGTTCTTCCTGATCTGATCGGAACTGTTAAAAAATCCTTGTGTCTCCTTTAACTTCTTCGAACTCGAACCGATCACAACAGCAGGTCCGAAGGAGTCGATCAACTTGGAGCGATCGCCGATGGTATCCGCTCCCTCGCGAAGCTTGCCTTTCGACCGGAAAGACTGCAAAGCGATTTGCTCGTTGCGCTGGCATTCCTCGACGGGCACGGTATCATAAACGCAGTCCTCGGCGCTATCGTTTTGCGTGTGAAACTCTTGTTTCCTCTCGTTCGCTTCTCCAGCGGAGAACGTCTTCAACTGTCCTTGACCGTTCGCCAGCTGGTCGCCGGGCTGCTGGGCGTAATCGTTTCGACCTTGCTCAACCTTGCAGAACGTGTTCAGCGTCACCGGCTTCCGCTGCTCCAGCAGGCCCGTCTTCTTCGATCCGCGCAGCGTTCCATAGTTCTCGATCAGCAGGCAGTCGTTGCTAAAATCGGACCACCTGGGCACCTGGGCCAGGTCGCCGGACGCTATCGGGAAATTCGATAGCCGGGGCAGAGCGTATGGGCCGCCGGCCTCCTTGAGCAGCTCCTCCGAGTCGGACCTATAGACGGCCCGAGGCCGGCTGCGACCCCTCGACCTTATGGTCGCGTAGCCGTCGTGGATGCGGCGCGAACACACGTTCAGATCCATCGTCGATGGCTCAGAACGCGCCAGATGGAATTTTTGGCATTCTTAAGCCTCGCCGGGCCGCCGTTAATCAACACATACCGTGCGATAGAGTTCTAGACAAGTCCTCGGACGCATGTTCGTTTGATAATGTTCTATCGGGATGCGAGTCACTTGCTGGATGCCACTGTGGAAATAATTCGCTGTCTGTTATTCGGGGTCGGTTGGACGCTTTCGCGGAATCGCGGTTACGTTGGGTGTTACGCTCGTAATACTTCCTTGGTTGAAACTGTGTTTAGTACTAATGTGTAAGGATTATGTTTGAAAGAAATATTTTCTCATTGTTAAATTGTAATTTATCTTGATTTATTCTCGGAATTTGTTGCTTTTGGAACTTAGTTCCAGACAGATTCTGTTTACGTAGATCCAGTGGACTGAACACTTTGACTTCTATGACCTGAGTTCAGGTGACACAGTTATTTGTATTGATCTAAAAATTTTATTAAAAGTTTACAAAAAATTGTTCGATTATTATCAATACATTTATTGATTGATAAAAAACTTTGTTTAAGAAATTAAAACATCTGAGAAATGAGAAAGAGAGCAATCTCTATAATAAATTATGACTTCATAATTTTTGGTTCGTTATGAAAATTGTTTTAATTGCACAAGATTTTAATGAGTGGCCAATTCAAATCAAAAGGGGATACGACAGTAAACATTTATCCTTCAACCAAGACAAAGTATGAAAAAGTTTATTTAGTCGTTTGACCTTTAATTTAGCTATACACTGTAGTTAATGATTCATTTTGCTCTACAAATCAAATAAACTGGCAGGTTTATGTGTTCAGTTTTATTCAACCCAGTTCTGTTAAAAAAGAAACAGAACTATCGCTGTGATAGACGTCGATCCTTTCCTTATTCTGTTCATTACGCGAACTGTGTTTCAAACATCTATGATCTAGATTCGCTGAAGAGTGCGTCATTCATATACACAGAGTAGCGTATGACGGTACTCTTGATTTTTTAACGCTTCACATTATTCTAATGGCGAATGTTGCAGATACGTTTAATTAAATTTCCTTTACTAATCATTCAATGATACTATGATACAACGATACGAATTTCCAACTGCGTTATTTCTTTCAAACTGCTGTATGTTTTACATCGTGTAATATACAAAGCTATTTTTCTAATAATAAATGTAACAGCTGCTGCATGACTCTGATCAACAATTTAGGTATGCATTTTTACGAAACGCATACTACCGTATAATACCATTTTAATGTAAGAATATAATAGTAATAAAAAAAGTTATTGGACTAATGTATTATTGCTAAACAATGGACCGTTATAGAAATTAGAATTCTAGTTCTGCTACACATGAAAGTATAATTACTTTACATTCAGTCTGACTACAATTTTGATTTTGCCTAAGTTTAGTCAAAAACATTTTTTATAAGTACATAAAGATATTCAATGTATCTGTCCAATATAGGTTTCTCTAATGACGTTTTTGAACAACATTCCATAAATAAGTACAACAAAACATAGTTTTATGTTTCGTTAGAATAAAAATTGTTACAACAGAGATTCTGCTCTTCTTAGCAATATATAAATACATTGGAAACTATTTCAATCGTTTCTGCAAATTATGAAAAGTATTGCTGGCACTTCAGAAGTAAAGCTGTTTGCATTTACTTTCGGTCTAAACTATGTAGATTCGCATCAACCAGTCTTCCTGGTTAATTGAATTGAAAGAGTATTGCCATAATACGGCTAGTCAAGGTCTTTATTCCTCGATTAATGAACAAACGAAAATGTGTCGCTCGAGACGTTTTATGTAACGAATTACATTGCGAAATGGCAGAGCAAAACCAGCACTGTCGCAACGTAATGATCATCAGACGTGGCGCATGATGTTCAGAGACGTGTAGCTTAAAGAAGATTACAAACAGCAGCTCGTGTTTGGAATGGCTGTCGTAACAGTATCATTGATAACAAAATTTGATCTCGTGCGAGATGCTGTAACGGAATAAGTGTACAGCTTCCAGTTTGGATTTAATTTCGATAGAGAAAACGTTCAAGGAAATCATCCAATCAGAGTCTAGATTAATCGGCGTGAATGGGATGTATCAAGGAAGACATAATGATAAGTCTTTGCTCAGTAATTGATTAAACAAAACGAGAACGCAAAAGCGTGCTGGCGTATCTTCAGTAATTTCTCAAGTGGACAGCTTTATTTCTTCATTGTCACTCTGTAGTTGACTCGGAATAGGGTAAGATTGCGCGCGTAGGTGTGGAAGAAACGTAGTTCCTAATGTGATGCTTAGAAACTGTTTTGCAATTTATAAGTGGGACTGAATTGAAAATAACATTTGAATTTCGGAAATTATTGTTAATTCTGACTGTGGAACGAGAAAATACTCACCCTATGAATTATTGTAATTGATGTATGGAGATTATATGAGCAGACTTTAATGTAATACATTTCTTATTAATTTTGAAATTCAAAATTCGGCTTCTCGATAGAAAGAAAAATGATTGTTGTTGATAGACTTAATTGTTCGCTCAAATCAAAACTTGTGAATAAAGACATTTTTAAATATAGAAAGTTTTCTTAATCTCTAATTAACAATGATCAATAATTGATTCATATTCGGAAATTATGTGTATGCACATGTATGTGTACAAATCCACGAAAGTTATGCTATGAAATACATAGTAAGAACAATTTTAATTGTGAAACTACATATTAGTACGTTTGTTGCATTATCAATTCGAGGATGACGATTGTTATTCCAACCATTAAATCTTCTTCACCGTATTCTTCGTTTTCATCGCAATATTGGATTATTATCAGAAAATAAAATTTTCAATGCTTGTTTCAACTAGAATATGGTAATTGATTATTCCGTACGCATGTTCATAATGACACCGTAAGAGAGTTCATGAACTACACGCTCGAGTTACAGACGGCATGAACAACGACGATAGTCTCTGACCCAGATCGGCCAAGAGGAGGTCTTAAGTCACTAACTAAACTAATCGTTTATCTAACATTAAAAGAGTGCAGTTTCTGATACGACGGTCAGGCGTACTTCTAACGGATGTTAGTAATTAAAAGCATCTGTTGGCACAAATGGAACTAGGTTATCAGGCATTTTTTAAGCTTTTCATTTGTTTATCGAAGTATAGCTTTGTAAAGCATTTCATAATTTATTGAACCGGATAAGAGTCGGTTTCTCTCGCGTAAGATCAATTTGTTAGAAATAAATTCTTCGCTTCAACAGATAACGAAATCGCTGCAACACAATTAGATTATTGGAAAACCTAGTTTCGATTAGTTCCATTAGTTCGATTAGTTTGTACTTTATAAATAGACTGTGAATCTTTATAGAAACTCAAAATTAAACAAATATAATTAGAAACATAGAATTGCAACAGAAAATTATTCTAAACTAATTCTACAAAAAATTTAATAGTGAATATTTTTTCTTATTGTGCACATTCAGTGCAACGTTGAACTTTCAAATTGTTTATGAATAAACATCCGCAGTTCAGTTATCAAACAGAGGCATTAGTAATATCAGTTTTAATGACTTATTGTGAAGAGATACAAATTCTGAAATGTTATAAGCACACTACCGGTAATTGCGACGATTTCATTTATGGAAGATGTGGCATTTATTAACATTGCAACGTAAACGAATCCTTTGTTCTCTTCTTTCCAGAAAAATGTTCTTCATTCCTTGGGCACGTTTTTGCGACCATCAAGATAGCCAGCTGCCTTGCGAACTTTGCGTTCGTAACAAGAGCATAATTACAGCTGTGCGACCTTAGTGCTGCAGAATAATTTTTCTTTCTTTTTTTTACACGTTGATCGTTAGATCAATAATATCGTATGATTTTTTCCAAGTGGAATTTAATTAGTTCCCTGTGTGCAATCTTATTCACTTCCACAAATATGTCACAGCAGAGATTTCTATTAATTAGATTTTGCAGTTTCTTCAGTACAGTTTGAAATTAAGAAAAATTGAAATCAATAGAAGAATGTAATGTAACTGGTTTTTTAAGAATAAATTTGTGCAGACTTCTTGAATTCTTATATCGATATTTCCAAATATTTCATCCACGTTCAATATAAAATTCGTTAGAAAAGTGGAATTTTAATTTAAAAACATTATCCTTAAAGATACAGTCTATTAATCTACTTTTTCTTATTTAATAAAAATGTCTTCAGCGTTAATAAGGAAATAAAAATTAATTTAGCATAAAATATATATAAAATTAATTAACGTTTCTTATCAAAGATAAATTGTTTATTAACGCGCATACTATTTGTATAAGTAAAGCAAAATCCCACTTGTGTTAACCAAAACTCGCATATTGCGTTAATTTAAGAAATGCCAATTTAAATTTTCAAATACAAATTTATGATTGTAAATCTACATGAATGTAATTTCTTTTAAAATCAATGAAAAATCTTATCGTTAGATCTCAAACATATTGAATGATTCCATTAACTTTGTTCTCTTGTTGTTTCAGTTTTACGTAATTTCAATTGAACTATCTTTAAATCAAAGCAATTTAATAAAAACCTTTATGCGAAATTGGAAATTCTAATTTTTAAACTCCGATTGGTTAAAATTCCAATATCCGATAAGTTCACGAATTTACTGTAGCATCGCAACAGGTGCATTGATATTAAAACTGCTCCTCTTAACGAATCGTTCACACACCTGCTCTTGAACGTTCGTTTCCATTTGATTCGAGTTCAGTTTGAATTTAAAAATAATTTAAATCTAAAAATATTCCGGAGAGTTTATGTTATTTTTGTGTTGCATTTTCTTTGGAATTTAATATTAATGTCTGTTGCTGACCACAGGAAACCATTGGCAGTTAAAGATTTAAATGGTTGAAAATTAATTCTCCGTACAATTCCAATTGAAATTCCCTTTAATTACAACGATCAGTGCTGTATCAGAATTATAATATTAATACAGTGTACACAGGTACTTATGTGTATCGACGTACTACTTGCAGCTTACGAGTATTAGCTAATAAAAATAAATGATTCTAACAGAGAAATAGTTTTATGTTTTTTACCGTTTAAGATTTCTATGGAGAAAACTGATAACAATTTGTTGACTTTTGTATCACTTAATCGTGTAAAAGTATTTATGATAAACAAAAGTCTATGATTTCTTAAACCTTTAACTTACTTTTATAATTTACATTATCTATAGCGAACCTTTGTAATAAGTGATCAAACACACTTGTATATTTTATATCAATGTATGAATTAAATGAATTAAACAATTTATTTAAATTTCGTAGTTCTGTTGCCAATGATACCTATTTATTCTTAAGACATTGAAACGTTAAAACAAATAATGTGCTGTATTTTCAATTATGTATACAAAATAAATTTCTGTCAGAATTTATACAGATACTTAAAAATTTCTACACATTTGTAAGATCAAGGTTTTCGATATTATCATACTATCGTCATCGATGACTCATAATCAACAATAATCACAAAAAATGTATTCGATACCGCAACTTCATTTATTGCTGCCTCTTCTGCTGATCACGTACGATTATGTTTTTTTCTCAATTGACTGTTTAAATAGACTTCGCCTATTTCATAAAAGTATCAGGAATATTATCAGCAGCATAAATTTATATAAATTGAAATTTTAAGTGATGTAAAGTGTGTGCACAATTTTTTTACCTATATCAAATGATAATATCTTGTATTAAAAATTATTCTTTGTCAAGTTAAAATTGAATGCTTGCAAACCAATTATTTTTAACCCTTTCGAAATAACGGAACACATTTATTATATGGAAAATGCGTTGAACCTTCAAATCAGTGGTGGTAGATATTTAATAATACAAATAGGCATATATATATATATGTATATACGTGAACTTTCCTAAAACTAAAACTTTTGTAATTTTACGAAACACTTGCAGCAAACTCGTGGAGCAACAATTAAGACTCAATGTCGCAGGCTTTTGTCATCGTTGAAAACACGCCTACAATCAATAGTTCCATAAACTGAAAGATATTCATTCTGTGTATGTACAAATAACAAGCGTAATTTATGTTCGCCACTGAGTTGATGTTTCCAATAAACAAACGTTTGTGTTAGTGTTTTCAGTAAACCAGTTTTCTATTAGCCAGCGAATTTCGCAACTATTTCTGCAACGGTCGGAGCGCGTTTCTTGGCCCATCCTAAATTCTTCCCGTTATATCGCGGCTCACCGATTCGACCTATCGAACCTGCAGGCATATTCCAGCCGATTTACATTAAACGTTACGAGACCACGTCGCGAAGCCACGTTACGATACTTCGCCTCTTTGAATGGTATCGATTAGCATAATGTGTCGCCTATCACATGCCTGCCGCACACGGTTACGATATGGAAACGAACCGTGCTGTTTTGCACGATGCGGTAAATGTAATTTTTATACCTTGGCTCTAGTCGGCCGAAGAGCGGCGGTCGCATAAAAAGTGAAGAAGTATGGGGACGGAAGAAAACGGGGATGTGGAAGTCAAGGTTGGGCTGCATCGAGAATTTCAATGAACAGCGTGCAGGGTGCGATGGACGTTATAATATTGTGCACTTAACCCCTTGCCAAACAATATCGTGTCAGATTCCTGATGAAGGTCTCAAACTGAAATTAACGAAGTTAATTGAATCTCAATTGTCTTGAGTTCTAATTAAATATTATATTTCTGTTATCAATTGCTTTGTTTCTAGTAAGTAATTAATGTCAAGCATAATTATTGTGGACGCAGTCATGAAAGAAATCATAGGACGAAGGGGTGAACACGTTTGCGACCTTATATAACTTCCCAAAGTCTGTAACTAAATATCGTGAGGGTCTACTATTTAAATGTGTATCAATACAAAGAATATGTGGTAGGATTATGTTGTCAATAGTAAGTCACAGATTTTGAAATGATGTAGGATTAAGTGATTTTTGATTTTCTAAAATATATAAAATGATGTGAAACTAGATTATCGTAATTTTTCTAAAAAAAAAATTAAAAATAATGAGAAACTACGTTACGAGTTTTAAACGCATTAAAAGATGGATGATTTTTGAAGAAAATGTAATCAAGAAATTTGTAATCGAAGTCATTCCTACTCTGTTGTTTAACATTACAACTACCAGATGAATTAAAATTTGAAAATTTTTTTCTTACATCATGTCATACTTGATGGATGGTATCTGAACTAGATTCACTGATAATGGTATCATAGAAGAACCATATTAAATAAACCGATACTGTTTGTTCTTTACTTACGTATGTCATATAGATTAATAATACACATATATTGAACCAGTCTCATCTTTTTATATGTTGTTAAAACAAGTCAGACTGACAAAAAGATATTAGTAGATACGATAAATAGGACAAGGGAAAAATAAAAAAATAAAATAGGTATTATGATTTTATAAAGAAATTACAATGTTATGAAGGTGTTCGAAATTTTCTCTTAGAAAAATAAAAATTTTGTAACTTTGAATGAACGAATGATAAGTTACATTTAATGAATTATTTTTAAATATTATATAAGAAAAGTGGATTTTCAATCTTAAATAATCGTATAGATTAAACATTTTTATCACTTTTGGGTGATGTGAGTATTGATAAGTTAAATCCACGGATAATAATTCTCTGAATATCCTATATTATTACTCGCAATCGAAACCTTAAAAAGATTTAAGAGATTCATCGATGATAATTCAACGTTTGATAAGATCGCACTTTTTTACTCTTCAACTTCTTAACTAAAGTGGTTCAATTCACATATAATTCTTATAAAAATGCACAGTGATATCTCGAATACGAAGTATTATTACTAAAGTGTTTAGAAGTTATTCTATTGATTGTCTCGATACAGATAAAATATTCTTGGTATAGACTAGATTCTTGTACACTATATCATTAAAATATTAATTCACATTTAATATTATATTATGAGATGAAATAAAACAAGTTTAGCTGCGATTTGTGATTCTCGTGTATTACGGAATACAATATTTGCTCCTTGATTTTTCCAAAAAATAATAGTACTATTTAATATGTCTTCATATTTATGCATAATTCGGGACGTTGAATTTTATAACACAGATTTATTACATTGATATTTAGATGCAGATACAGTAGTAGAGAAAAACATACATTCAAAGAAAAAATAGCTTCCGTGATTGCATAAGAACTAATTAACGATTCAGCTACTCAGAGAATCATATTCTGATGCAATCAAAAGAAGTTTTCCTTTGCATTCCTAAGACTACGTTTGTCACAAAGAATTCCTCGAGTGTTTTTTCAAGTCATACAGTCTCACGTCGAAAACAAGCAGTATATTACAGATGAATTCGAAAAATTACGCCATTAAAGCAAAGCGGTCCATGAAACAATTCCGTTTCTAATAACAAAAACGGGAAATCATTCAAGTACTTCTGCTGTTCCCATTCTTCTCCTTCGAAATTAACAATATTCTATAACAGGCTTGCCTATATTGCAGGCCATTCGAACGTACCACGAACATAACTTCCGGAAGGCTTGGCAACCGCAACGAAATCGACGAAAACAAATTTGCAATGCGATCCTGCCCCGTTTAATCCGTTAGACAAGGTATATGTCATCTTAACCGTCAATTATTCCATATTTTCCTAAAACTCCTTTGTCATCTTAAATTTAATGTATTTTATATTATGGTTTACTGTTAGATACGTTTTATTGGTAACGCTACATTTGTACGTAAAAATAAATGTAGTGCTTAATTAAATATCTTTATAAGAATTAGAACCGTTTCATCTAAAGGCAGCTTAATCACAACTGTCTAGTTGTTACTATAGGTATAGAGTGGACTGATGACAATGACTTATATTGAATAAATTTCTTTAATAGAAGTTGTGTACTGCAAAATGATTTATTACTATACTGTCGATATTTATACTTATATAATTATAATTATAGGCACTTTATTAAAAAGAAAATTAGAGATTGTATCTCTCCAAATTGCTTTCATTATTAAACAAAAATCATTCGAGGATTATTTTGAATGTCACTTTTTCCCATATTAACAACTACGTTTTATGATACGATACCGTAAGCAATATTAAAATGAATGTAAGAATCTATGATAGAATCTATGCCCTCGAAACGTCCTCCATGGAAAACGAAATCAGTTTCAATAGTACAAATACAGTATATACAAAACATTTGATTAAAAAACATTTTAACTTAATGTTTAAAAATATCAATAGAATACCATCAAAAATGGAATGTGCAGAGAGTATCAGTGATCTTATTATCAGCAAAAATGAAGAAAAACGAAGAATGAAAAGAAATAATTCCCAGGTCCAAAAAAATCCACCGATAACCATGCAAGTGTTAACAGTTGAAGAGTATTTGTAGAAATGATAGTAAGTGGCAAACTTCAAAATTTTCGAAAGGAAAAAGAAGTTCGCCAACCTT